TATATATGAAGATTACCTACATCTAAGAAAAATTCTAAGATGATTTCACTGAGAGATTTTTACAGCACCTGTATCTGGGTGGCAGGTTTAGTATGCTTTTTATTTTCTGCTTTTTGCTCTTTCTAAAATGCTTGCGTGTTTTATAAAGAAACTGACATTTTTATTATTCTTTGTTTTTGTTTTTTGTTGTTTTTATTGTCTTGAGACGGGGTCTCTCCATGAAGCCCTGGGCATCTTGGAGCGACTATGTAGATTACGCTGGCCTTAAACTCACAAAGATCCATCTGCCTCTGCCTCTCCACCTCTCTGCCTCTACCTATCTCCTGGAATTAAAAGCATGTAACGCACATTTTTATTATTCAAAAGTGTTACCATATAAAATAAGGTAAGCATGGGGTATGAGAAATTCAGAGGGAAATAAACCTTTAACACACCAGTGCTTTGTATACATTTTCATAGCTAACACATGCTCTGCCTCTCTAGGAAGATGATTTACCGTTCCTCATTAGTCACACTTTACAGGGCTAAAGTTCTGGGTTTTCAGCTGTGGCCCTGGGTACTCTTCTGTGTTTACTATGGGTTTTTTTTTTTTTTTTTCATCCTTTCCACAAAGACAGTTAATGAACACTGGGGTCAGGAAGGCTTACATGAAAGGTGCAGAAGTACATTTTATTCTTGCAAATAAATTGAGTACCATTATTGTCATCATCTACATATCATGCACAAAAATTTATCTTGCATAACCAACTCAGTAAAACTTTCCTTTTTCATATTCAGCCAAAGGATCCAGTTTCAGTCCAGGATTCAAAATTTTATTTGTTAACATCTGTTTAGTGTCCTTAGCTATCTTAGCAAAGATTTTGTAATGCCCCACAATGTAAACTTGCCAGATGAGTATTTCCTTATGATTGCATTCATGTTCAGTATTTTGGCAAGAATACCACAACAAAGATGGTTTGCCCTGTTTATGTATCACATTCATAAGGTTCATGACAGCAATGCAGCCGTTACTGATGATAGTAATTTTGACCACTTGAAGTAGTTTCATTGGGGGTCTGTGCTTTGGACAATGATTCTAAAAGAAGCTACCCGTTCCTAATAATTGGTATTTCATCTTCAATCTATTTTTTTCTAATTTTCTTTTCTTTTCTTGATCTGCTATAGGGTCTGATCTAGCCTAATGAGATGGTTCTCTAACTGACTTAGTTCACGTGTTAGCCTGAAGTCCTGATTCTCTAGCTTCCACCTTAGGAGTGGCGAAGATTGCATTACCGGCTGATGTGCCTGCACTTAGCCATTGTTAGCGATTGCAGTGGATCAAACTTAGAACCTGTGGTATATTGTAGCCAGTTCACTACTCACTGTGATACAGCCCCAACTTCACTGCTGCTAAATATGCTGATGGATAAACAATACCTGTGCTTCTGAAAGTATGTGTCCATATGTTAGAGTATGAGAAGAGGAGAGAATAAAATATCTGAGTTACTTTCAGTGCCACAAAAGGAAAAAATAGGGAAAAAAACAGTCTTTTGAATGAAAGTATAGTATAACTATAAATGTGCTGGGTCTAGATTTTATTAGTAAATGATTCATTCCTATTGTGGGGGTTACCTGTAAAAATACTTGATTTCCAAAGACTCAAATACCATAGAGGAAAGTGAGTGTGTTTACCTGGTGCTCGCTAGCATGGGCTTAATGGGTGGGAGTGCATTGAAAAATGTCACAATCATCTGAATGAGTAGGGTTTAGTCGTTTAGAGCCAAGTACAATTAGCAGTAAAAGTAGTCTAGGTATTACCAAGCTTAAATCCAAAGTACTTGGTGTAATCCTTAATCCAATACTTGTAAAAATGTTTTGATATTGCAAATGTTAGGTGAATCTACTGTATTCTTAGTTAAATCCTTTCAAATGTTAAATGCTTCTAATTAGACAAAATGAGATTTCCTTAAAGTAGGTAGCACAGTATGTTTCAGAACTCTCCAGGTCATTCTGATAAAAGTAAGACAAGTAGATTATTCTTAAACAATATGTCTGTTATTCCGGTCTGTGTCAAGGAGCGCTAACACTATGGGAGGGTTTCAGTGCTAAAGTATATTGGGAACCTCTAATAGCTGTAGCATCACTGACTGGAAAAATGACATGCAGGAGATACCTGTTCATCATGAACAAATAAATATTTTGTTTTTTTTTCTTTCTAGTTTCTTATTAGAAGATGGTAGAAAAGATAGGTGTGTGTGTGTGTGTGTGTGTGTGTGTGTGTGTGGTGTATTTGTGTGTGTTTAAGTTTTCCCACGACCTAAAGGATTTTCGGCTACAAAATTTTGAATTGTCTACCAACACATATAGTCCATTGACTATAAACATTTTTATGTGACCTTACCAATCTCATAAGTGACCTGGGTGGGGTCTAATTTAGGCTCTTTTCTTGGCCAGGCGGCTAAAGGCCCCTTTTTTCCATAGAAGCCTTGTGAAATCTTGCTACTGGCTAAGAATTTAAAG